GCTCTCCTGTTTTGCCTAGGATGAAACAAAAGTCACAGCGCACTCGGTGTTGCTTTCAAGACATCGGTAGTTTGAAGAGTTTAACATGGCCTCATCCCTGTGCTGCCCCTGACCAGGCTAGTGCTGCCTTTTTTAGTTTTATTTTTTATTTTTATTAACTGCTGCTAACGTTTGTGCAGCTGAATAAGCATAGCAGATACATCACAGAATTGATCCAGCTGAAAATTAATCCAGCAACCTCTCTTTTTTTCCTTCATGGAAGAAATAACCCCCTAAAGCTTCAGTTTTTGATCTTCCTTGTAGGTATGTATGTGTCTTTCTAGCTTATTTTCTTTTTGTTGTAGCAGATAGGAAGAACGTATTTACTTAAAGAGTTTCTGGAAAGAATCCTGCTTTGATGCTTTCTTCTGGGATTATTTTTTTGTTTGTTCAGAGTGTAAATGAATTTTGCTTCTGTATTCAATGTATCTTTTGTCTTCTTCAAAGTTAATGCCACAGAGCTGTCACAGGTGGTTCTTATTTTTGCTATCATGCTGTTAAAGCAATACAGATTCTTAAACTTGTCTTCTCAGCTCTTTTTTTTTTCCTCTGTGTAGCTGTTTCAACCCTCTCTTCTATTCTCTTCCAATTATGACTGTTAACCTCTGCCCTTTTCTTTTGGTAAACTTGTAACTATTTCAACAACAAAGCGGTGTTGATATGAAAAGCTAAAAAGTTGTGTGCGATTGTGAAGAATGTGAGTTTAAGGTAATAGTCCAAGGGTTCCTTTTCCTGAGGAGCGAATCTCTGAGGTGAACTATGGGATTGTTCTTTAAATACCTTTTTCTAATAGGGATATCTTGAGTGGTGAATAGGAAAAAGAGAAGGATCATATGTTTTGGTAACTGAACTACCTCCTAGCTCCAATTACCTCTTGAATCTAGGAGGAGATGAGTTCCTGCTCCTGTGGGGTTATTTTGGAGGAGAGCTTCAATAGCAGGGCTTCATCAGGGAGGACCTGTTTCCATTCAGCAACTCCTCTGCAGTCCGTCTACATAGACGGGACCTTGGGGAGGACTATCAATCTGGGTGCTTTTTGCAGCACTTCCTTTACTCTCTGCTCCCATCGTGTGTGGTTCTTGAGAAAACATGAAGAATGCTGAGCTCCTAGCAGGATTTGGGCCATAATCAAGGCTGACACTGACTGGCATATTGTCAAATTGCGCAGGTATCACTTACTGTTAGATAACACTGGACACCCGTTAGTGTCTCTTGGCTAATCAAGAGTGTTGCCTCGCACATATTCTTGCGATGAGAGTGCTAAGGATTCGTGTCGTAGCTGCCAGTTTTCATCATCTGAGTGGTCTGCAGAAGACAGGACTCTAGGGACAATTGAGAATAGGAAGTGCAAAGACTTGCCGTGTTCTCCTGAAGCAGTGGAGTGACTTTCATAGATTCAGGGCATTGTCCCCAGAAGATGGCTTTTGTCTTGGTTTCTGTCATTGGTATTGCAGAATAAATGTGTAGCTATTTCTAAAATTGTCAATCTGTGTGTCTGTTCCAGGGCGATTTGATGAAACTGTGATTGAAGAGAGAAGGCAATGCGCTGAAGATCTGTTGCAGTTTTCTGCTAACATCCCTGCTCTCTATAACAGCAAACAGCTTGAAGAGTTTTTTAAGGTTTGTTAGTATTTGCAGAAGTATGTGCTGCTTATAGCGTGATTAAAGTGCAGTGCTGATTTTGTTTGCTTTATAAAATGTGGAGGGCCTGTGAGCTGATTGGGTGCCATACCTCCACAAACTAAAAAGTGTTATAGGAAGTTCAAGTGCAGGGATTTAGAATTTCTGCTTATTGAATGATGAGGAAAGGAGTGATGTTAAATACAAATATTCTGTTGGGAAGTAAAAAAAATACGGTAGTTATTTCTGTATTTTATAGGTGTTTATAGTTTATAATCAAAAGCAGGACTATTAGCTGGACTGTTTTCTTCTGGTCTGTTATTATGGATTGGAATCCATAACAGCAAACTTTGCATATAACTAATCAAACATGTGCTGCTTGAACAGTGACAAGGAACCATTCTGCAGAGTATATTTTAGATCAGGAATTTTACTGTTCTGCCTTTGAGGCACTTTTTGTTTGGAAATACTTCTATTATTTTGGGGAAAGACAAACACCCTTCTTTGGTTAACAAAAATATAATATTTAGCCTTCTCATAGAGCCTTTTGTACTTACAAGGTAACGAATAAAATAGAGAGTTTATATATACATATTTTTAAAGAGGAGTTGAGTATACCTACAAGAGCAATTGTGCTTGTGTCAAAACCTAAGCTCTTTTTATTACCTTGTGTTATTTCACATTTTTTTGGTGGGAAAGGCTTTGTTTTATAACTGTTTGCACCAGCTCAGCTAGTTTTGCTCAGCTCTACTCGCTGGTGGTTTTCCTGTTTTTCAGATTTTCTTTGTACAAATAGCCAGGGGAAGGTAGACACCGAGTATGAACTAATACTGGAGTGCATGCTATGTGTATCTGCATTTATTGACCCAAGAAAGATGGGCTGACTGATGTGAAAGCATGCTGAGCTAGTTCAGGACAGGTTAGGAAGGCCTGTTTGTGACACTACCTTGGGTATGGTGCAGGTTCTGATTTATTTGTATGGGAAACTGGCACCTCAGAGGTCAAGCGGAAATTTTTAGAAAGCATTTAAGTGGTTTCTCATGTATTTGTTTCTGTTTTGAGAGGGGGTGCACTGCAAATGATATGACTTAAAATGTATGTAGTTATGTTAGAAGGATTCAGTCAAGTTTTATTTCACCTCCAGAAATCTGCAAGAAGCTATTCCAGCAGCAGCTAATTATAGAAATGTATTTCCTCTCCTCTTTCTTTTCAGGGTGGGGAGGTGCATGATGGTTCTGAACTGATCGGTCCTGCTGAGCCTCTGTCCGATTCCCTGACTGACAACCTGTCCGACTGCAGCTCTGAAGGTTTGCTCGTTTTTGTGTAACCTTCTAGCTTTATTTGATTAAAAGGAGTGCTTAAATGGCTAGTGCCATATTGTAGGAGCGCTGGGATCCAGTTTCTCTTTGCTTTGTATTTGACAGAAATGCCAGAACTAGGATTAGAAAAGAGAAGTTGGGCTCTGCAGAGTGCTGTCTGCCTGCCTGCCCTTCTTCTAACAACTTGCTTTCTGGGAGTTTGTCCGGTCTGCCTTAGAAATCCTGGCGCTCTGTCTCTCAAAATGAGCCCCTCTTGGTCCCACTGTGAATTGAACCTTCCAGTTTAAATACACATAATCCTGCCTGCTTTGCACTTTATTTTCCAGTAACATCTAGGGTGTTCATGAAGGAATATACCCACAATCTTTTGTCCTTCTGTGAAGAAACTAAGACAGAGGGTTAATTGCGGAGAATAGTTGTCATGTATAGAGCTTGAAGGACCACTATGTATGTAAAATTTAAAGATTTTACATTTTGGTAAAGCGTCCATTTTACGCTTTGTTGTTATATAAAATTGCTTCTAAAATTTAAGTGTTTGTATTCTTTAGTCACAATGGCCTTGTTTTTAGGAGGAGAAAGCCCTTGCCTTTATGTGAGAGAACCTTTTGTCTCTTCAGCATCCTATAAAGGGGAAAAATAAGCTTTCTCTGAACGGATTAGAGTGATTTGGGGGGATATTCACAACAACTATGTACACAGGATTTCCAGATGCTAAATGGGACTTCTGTGGAGTTCTCATTTCTAAAACCTGTGTTTTTCCACATGTTCAAAACCATATCAGGAGGTAACTAGGGACAGAAGGAAACATCTACGTTAAATCCTCTAGGTGGCAGTGGCAGTACTTGGTTCTAACATCTCTGCCCTCCTTCCCTGAAGTTATCCTACCTATATTTGATTTTTCCAAGTCTGATCATCAGTTCACTTTGTTAGTTTTTGTGGGCATTCAAAGGCTTCTATATGGCAAGAGAGCCTGAAGAAACAGTGCCCAAGAAGTATCAATACCATTGCTTACCTCAAGCTGAAATTGGCTTGCAAGGCTTTGTAGCATTTTCTCACTTCCTATTTAATTGTTCTATCTACATGCTCAAGCAGTTCTACTTCCACCCATATAGTCCTTAACTAGCATTTTTGCTTTTCTGAACAAAATCATCCGACTTCTCTAACCCTTAGTTTGTAAGCTGAGTCTTCAGCATCAAAACTCAATGTTTGTGTCCCTAGATTGGGCAGGTATACAACTCATCATTAATACACCTGTTTTTCTCCTAACTTTCTGTTACGAGTTTGCCTTCCTTCTTGCAGGGCTGAATACTACACAGGCACTTATCTTCTCAGTAATTTTTCTTTGCATGGCCTGATATTCCTTCCTTGAAATGATCAGGGGTGTCATCTTCTGTGGATATTCTTCCTTCCTGTCAAATAATCTTTTGTCACTAAATATCACTGTCCCTTTTTCTCATAGAAAGTCTGCAGCTACTCATCTGTTCTTCTTGTCTCCTTTTCCTCTTGCTCACCTTAAAGAAGCTGTTAGCTTTAGAGAAGTGATGTTTCTGTTGTACTTGGTGGGAAGATGCATGCCGCCTTTCTCCTCTTTCATAAACTACAAAACCCATTTACCTCTATAGCTGCAAAATCAAAAATGAAGTTGAATCTTTAAGTCAGCTCCTTGCTATTGCCACATACAATTTGAAGATAAGTCAGGATGCTTTATCTGATAACATGGATAACCTCTTGACTCAACTGGTAATACAGAAGAAATCCTACAGCAAGTTCTAGCTCAAAATTTCATTTCCCTGTATGCAAACAGCTAAACATCTTGACCTTGTTGCCTACTTGTTTATTCCTTTAGTGGATCCATGTGCCAAGGTGATAAGACAAGCTGCTACTTGATATCCAGGTGGTACTGCCAAATTCATGGCTCATTCCATATGTCTCCTGCAGGATACTACCCTGGAATGACGTTTCTGAGATTGAAAGCTGGCATTCTTTTCTTGGTGTGTAGGTGTTGGTCCTAGCTTTCCAGGTTCTCCAGTTTTAAGTCTCCTTACTTGTAAATATCGTAACAGTGAGAAACAGGTTTTAAAATGTTACTGCTCTTGAATTTGGATAAGTTGATAGGATGTGTGTTTTGCTTTTATCATCTAAAGCAGGAAGAAATGGCAAGTCTAATACCACTGTAGTGGCTTGATACCAAAATTAAGATCTCTGACAGCTAGTCTGAGAGCAGATTAATGTTATGTATTTTTACCTGTAGTCATGTCCTTTTATTTCGATGCTAATTGAACAGCTATTCTGTAACGCTAAAGGATGTCAGAAACATTTTTGTCATTCTTGTTCTTTTCAGTTCGGAAGGATTTAAGTGGACTTGATGATGTGACACTTACCAGCCAATCGGAATGTGGAGGTGAGGTCTAAGTGTTGCTTCCATTACACTTGCAGCATTTAGATTATTATAAAGTCATAATTATGTGTGAACACTCTTTGGGGATGTTAATCCTTACTGAGCGAAATGTCATAGATGTGAGATGCCTTTTCTGCCACTTACGCAAAAATATCTCTGCTAAGTTGTTATGGTTTTAGGACTGCCAGCTTGCAATAAGTATATGTGCTCTTAGTTTATGGAAAATGCAAAATAAAATGTGTTAGCTCATGTCTTTCACTGAAACTTGAGATAATTCATTCTACCATGTGTTAGCAATGAAGTAAGCTATACGCAGTAGCTGTGAGTAGCCTTGAGTTATGTGATCACGACGCATGTGAACAGTCGCTGCTGTGTGAATTCTACCTCCTAATTCAATATTTTTGTGATGCTGTGCCTTACGGACCAGTAAGCTGACTGTAAAACAGGATGTTGGGATTCTTGTGATAGTAATTTGACTCCTGCTGTTTCTGTTTTCTGAGAGTACCCACCCAGGGAGGCTCATAATTTCCTGGAACCCATTAGTAAGAGGACTTTGAAGTTTAATATGATAGTTGTTTGTCCTTTCATTTCTGATGTTAGACTGAAGGCTAGGTCAGGGAATTTTGTTACTAACTTCGAAAACAATGCACCTTCAGGGTCTTAAAAACTGGATTTCTAAGACACACTTGCATACAGGGAAATCGCAGAATCCCAGAATGGTTGAGGCTGGAAAGGACCTCTAGGGATCATCTAGTCCAACCCCTCTGCTCCAGCAGGGGCACCTGGAGCACTCAGTGCAAAATCTCAGGAAGCTCAAAAAAGGAAGTTGAAATCTTTATGCTTACAGTTTGAATTGGAGCTGGTGTTGTAATGAAGAGTTTTGGAGGCTGCTATGGTGTGTAAGAAATCTAAAATAATAGATGTTCTTCTGATTTACGCTTCCAGGACTCTCTAGTGACAGTGACCTGATCTCTCTGACGGTTGATGTAGACTCTCTTGCTGAATTAGATGATGGAATGGCATCCAACCAAAATTCCCCCACTAGAGCCTTCGGTATTGGTGTTCTCTCCGAGTCCCCAGCACAAAGCATGGTGGCATCTGAGCAGGAGTGGAGCAAGACTGAGGGCGAGAGGGAGAGCCATGGCTTGTTTACTGGAAGCTTAAAACTCAAGTCTGGCAAACAAGATTACTTAGAGAAAGCAGGAGAATTGATAAAACTGGCCTTGAAGAAAGAAGAGGAGGAAGATTACGAAACTGCCTTCAGCTTTTACAGAAAGGGGGTTGATCTGCTTCTGGAAGGGGTTCAAGGTATGCATCTTCTTGCTGTGTTTGCCCTATCTCTGTTTATGAGTATTTGGTTATGGCATTTCCTCAGTTAGCATCTGCTTACTGTGTTTCATAGAAATGTGATGGGTAGAAGGGTGTGTGCTCGGCTTTCATGTACTTGGTTGCTGCTGTGCATATGTGTGTGTGAGAGAAATCTTTCTCTATAAGACTGAATGGTAACTTAAGGGCTCATCCTCTCAGTGCCAGGTATCTCCTCTTAAAATTGCAGCATAACCTCAGACTTATTGGTAAGTAGCAGAACACTGCCATTTTTCTCCCCGCTCTCTCCTTCCCTTTTTATTACCTAGGCATTAATTAATATGTGGCGCTTGCAGCACTGTTGAAACATTATTTAATTTACATGGTTAAGTGAGGATTAATTATCCCCATTTTACGCATGGGGAGAGGCAGGCTCAGGTTAAGTTTCCCATCACAGCAGAATTAGAACTATTTTTGGCTCCCAGATTCTTGCATCTTCCACTGACTTGTTCGTTTTCTAGCTAGAAGACATACATAAACTTATGTCTCCACACAGCTTTAGGGAGAACAGGATATTAAAAACAAACAAACAAACAAAACCCAAACTCTCTGGTATGTCAATGTATGTCTGCAAAAGCTGCTGTTGATTTACTGGATGCAACTCCATACAAACTCCAAGATTCTTCTTGGTCTCTGTCAGTTGGGGAACTTCTTTTTTTTCTCTCTCCTTCTTCCTCTTTCATCTTCTGACTCTTGGGAATTTAGAGCGATAGCTGCATTTATTTGTATTTTGTCCAAGAAGAACTTAGAAGTATTAAGCACAGGGAAGGTTTGTTCTTTCCTGCAGCGAACTCGCTGTCTGTGTATCCTGTCCTGCACAAACGAAGCAGGTAGGATCAGAACACGGGCTGTGTTTGACTGTATGTAGCACATAGCTCCAGAGCAGCATAACGCCTGAGCTTTGGAGCTAACACATCCAGCCATGTTCCATAGCAGAGCCCTCAGCGTGGCAGACACACTGGATGGCTCTAGGGATTAAAGTTACCTGCTGAGCTGGCTTAACAGGGGCTGATGAAGAGTAGTGGATAGAAGTGAGGTGTGAGAGATGAGGTGTGGGCCAAGCAAATGTTCACAGCCTTTGCTTGTACTGTGTCTTCATATTTTGTAAAAGAAAACCCACCCCTTTCTTTGCAAGTCCTGGTGACGTCAGTAGGGTTGCTGGTTGGTGCCTGTAGCTTTTTAATAGTACCTCATCTTTCCTTGCTCATGCTATCCGTGTGCTTTTCACTCTTGATGTTGAGTCTGTTGGCAGACCTTCTGTCAGCATGTTGGTTTTGAATCTGTGATAGTCCTTATGCTAATACGTTACCTTGCAGCTGTGAAAGGCTACACCTGCATGCATGGTAAGTGACTGGCTCAACTGATGCACTGTGACTCATTAAAGCAGGGTGAGTGGAGCCCTTCAGTTCTTATTGTGAGCCTTTTCTGTAAGGACTCTTGTTTCACTGACTGGCTACTCATCCTGCTGCTTCACCTGCAAAATATCAAGGAGTCTCAGAAATGTGTGACAAATACTCTGCCCTGTTTGTTTCTCTGATGCTGCTTAGATGGTACAGTGGGAGTTTATAACAAATTTATGGTAGTGGTACCTGTAGAGATAGGGCTTCCTCTGTGGATGGAGAGATGTGTAGCTGGCGCCCACAAATTCTGGGTAGTCCATTTCATTTCATCCTTACAACACAAGGGAGGGAATAATTAAACTGAATGTTTTTTCATGTGGCATCTTATCCCTTTGGAAAATACAAACTAGCCTGTGTACAAGTCAGCTCTTTTCTCTTTTCTCTGTTACCCTGTGTGGCTGTGGAAATGGAAAAGAAATGGATGGTCCATCCCCCGCTGGGCACATCCTCTGGTTTTGGGTAGATCCAGTTCACCTTGTGTCCTGTTATTTCTAGAGCTTCTGCAAGCTGGCAGGGAGATTGTGGTGTCCTTTTCATAGCGAGCAGGCCGATTCAAACGTCTTACTGAACCACGAATGCTTTCTAGTTATTCATGACTTCTACTCCCTATAGACGTTTGTGTCACTTTTTAATCTATGTGTCACTTTTTAAATCATGTTTAATGTGGAAACATAAATATTCAATATACCGTGTTGAACAAAAAGCCTTAAATGAATCACTGTAATTAAACACACCTAGTTATACCTTTCACACAAAAATATGCCTGTTTTAAAGATAAGGATGAGACAATTGTTAAAACATGTTTATGGTCTTACTTGTAACTAGTTGACAATTTCAGCCTATTTTGTGTACACATTTTTATGTAAATATATACAATGTACACCATATTTCACTTTCAGATATTACTGTTTTATCTTACTCATATGCAGAATGGAGTAAAAGTGACTTTTACATGTAAAATGACAATACATATTTTTGCCACATGGTGGCACCAAGAAAATAGAAATAGACACTAAAAAAATTGACTCAGAAAATGTAGCCAGGGTACCCAAAAGATTCATTGCCAGTCCTCTATTTGAAACTTCTCTCAGAATTACCTCTGGAATGTAACCAACTTGGAGGGGCTTTGTGCTCATCTCAGATGAGCTTTTTTGCCAGCTGCTCGTTTTTCCTTGCTACAAGGAGATCTTTTTATTCCTTAAGGCTGGCTTATCAAAATGGTGTATGTGTAAATTTATTACTGCAACTCTGTAGACTTGTTTAGTTTTAGTTAGTAGCTGACTTCTGAAAAGGCAGCCGGAGTATTCAGAGCTCTGTCATTTTTGATAACTTTCTTAGCTGGTGGCACTTGTGCGGAGGAGGCGACGTGTTGTATTCACTCTCACCAAGGGAGCATCTGTCTTGACTTGGTTTTCATCTCTGTGTACGTGCTCTCAGAAATGTGGTGCTGTTAAATATATACATGTGCAAACTGCCCATGTATTTTCTTCTGTTACCTCTTGTGTTTTAATGCCAAATCTCTTAATGCCCTGTTTACAGTCCTGCCAAAAGGCCTGATAGGCGCTGATGTAAAGGATGTGTGTGGTGAGAGGCCGTTGTGTAACTTGGGCTCTGGACATCTGCTCTGTAAATGTCTTAGACCTAACTGAGCTCTGCGTGTGCACTCCACGTCACACGTTTGGCAATGCGTAGGAGAAGAGCAAATTCTTGACATGGGAGCAGAGCCATTGAGCTACCCATTCTTAGTTTTGTTTGTAACATCTCCCTCATATCCAGTGAGAGGGAGTAAAAACACTTGTTTCCTTTCTCCTCTGACTACCTACCCGTTCTGCTGATGCTTTTGCATTTGAGTGTGTGCAAGACCGGAGCTTTTGGAAAGCAGGTCTGTAATGGGCTGTGGGATAGTGGATTAGAAAATGGTGAGGCAATTCTTTAACCTCCTGGAATTCAAATATTCCAGCTTTTTTAAACATACTAGAAAATAAATATATTAGCAATTAGGAACTATGGCTCGCAGCTGTAGCTGTTCTTTTGTTTTATTAACATGTGAGGTCAATGTCTTGCGTAAGGCCCAGTGGTGGAAATACCCTAATTGATAGCAAGCCACCAGCTTCTCGTCTGAAGGCTAACTGTGGTGTATGCAAAGCTAGTGCTTTCCCTCATTTTGCTGTAGAACATAGTTTATGTTGTGGGGAGACAAAAAAAAAAAAAAAAAAACAGATTGAGAGGCTGAAATTATGGAAAGAGTAAAAGAAGGAATTCCTACTCCCGCAACCTGTGTTTTCCAGATATGTCTTTTGCATTAGGTATCTACAACTTCTAGATAATATGTTGGTGTCTTTGGAAGCAGCCTGCAAACGTTAATTCCATGCTGCTCTATGTTGTTTTGGTGTTTATGTAGTAAACAGAGCTGGAACAAAAATTACAGAATTACAGAAAGCCCAGTAAAATGACTTTGCCTTTTAACCCAGAAATGCATATGCAATGAAATACCGAGAATGCTTTGGACAACTAGATGATATTTCTGGACATACCAAAAGCAAACCAACTTGTATCTAATTCCCGGGGTTACGATGGAGTATGGTTTGAACCTGTGATGGAGCCAGGGATACAAAAAGGGGCATGCTTGTGAGAGTGCCAAAAAGTCGGTGCTTCATGAAAAGGGGAGGAAGAGCCCTGGCTGTTTCAGGAGTGTTTCTGGCTTTCAGAGTGGAAAGCACCTTTGCTCCTTTGTTGAATGGTGCTTAGGAAGCTTGTATCTGTTGCAACAAAATAGCTATTTTGTATTCCTTTCACTTGTTAAATTAGGTCCTCTGGATAGTGTTTATCGCTGAGAGTAGCAATCTCTTACACAGTTAAACACTATCCTCGGTGAGTCTGTGGCTACCCAACAGTTACCTCATTAAAGCTGTGTTTTTGAGGAAGTGGTAAACCTGGGTTTTTAGAGGTGTCAGGACACGTTGGCTGGATGTCACCTAAATCAAAACGAGGAACTCTGTGCTAATATTGTGTGTTCAAGATTGTTTTGGGGACCCTGGGTTTCCATGGGCCCGGGACACACAGGGGTGGTGCTGCATCAAGTCCCTTTTGGACTGGGCTGTCCATGCAGTGCCGTCCCTCTTCAAGTGCCTTGTACAGCCATGGTGTTGTAGACCCAGTTTTAGTAGCTTAGGTGTTTGGGGAGGACTTGTCTATCGACTAGCAACTGGGTTAAGAAAGGGTGGTTAAAATATTGTATTTTGCTTGTGTGTCATATGATCATACTGTACTCTCCGTGATGCTAAAACTCGTGTTAGTGTGGGCCATGAACTGCTCGTAACTGATGTGCGTTGACTTCCAAGGCCGCTGTAGAGCAGACTTGTGCCATCCCATGGAATAGATGTTGGATGGATTACCCTGAGTAAAGCCATTCCATATGCAGAATTACGGGTGTATACCCCTCATCACCGTGAAGCAGCAAAATATGGCATCTGTTAGTAAAGATGAAGTCTGGTAACATGTAAGTAGAACCACATTCTGGTATGTAAATAAATATTCAAGACA